GACACAGGTCGAGAATTGGCCAGCCAAGGCCCAGGCGGTCGCCCACCACCTCCGAAGCCTAGGAAACACACGGCGCGGCCCCAAGCCGAGCGCCGTGCAGAGGGCAGTCAGAGCCTGTGTCGAGCCGATACTGCTCTTCGGCGTAGAAGCGTGGTATCCAGGTACAACGTCGCCACGCTGGAGACGACCATCAAAGGAAGGACCGTCCAGAGTCCAGCAGCTTGCGCGGAAAATGAGCAAGGCTCTCAAGCAGGCCATCCGAGCCATTCTCCCAACCTGGAAGACCACACCGATCGCTGTCTTGCACCGAGAGAGCGGCATACCCCCCGTCCACCAACTTCTGGAGGCAAGACGTCTTCGCTTCTCTGCTCGCATCAAATCACTGGACTATGCACACCCTCTGGCCAAACGCACCGCCGAGGCAGCGCCACGGCCTATCATCAAGTGTATCAAGTTGAAGTACCAGCTCCCGCCAAAGACCTTTCCAACCAGGTTGAGGAGGACGAACAGACTGCTTGGTAATTGCCAACGCCCCGTACTCATCCCGCGTAAATACAGCCACGAACCACAGCAGCCTCTCCAAACTGCATCCAAAGAAGAGTCCGCCAAAGACTTCGATCGATGGCTTCAAACGATCCCGGCGCTTAGTCTTGTCGTGTACTCTGACGGCTCTCTGTCCCCCAGCGGTGCCGCCGGATACGGCTATGCTGTTCATCAAAACAGACGCTCTGTTTGCCAAGGCGCAGGACGCCTCGGCCCTGCGGAGGTGTTCGACGCTGAGGCTAAAGGAGCGCTGGAGGGCTTCAAAGCCGCCCTTCGGCTTCCCCAGTCTGCCACACAACGAATAGTGGTATGCTTCGACAACATCGCAGCTGCCGCATGTCTCCGAGGCAAACCCTCCGACTCGTCGCAGAGGGTCTTCTTGACATTTCAGGCCCTAGCAAAGACACACCGAAAGACTGAAGTCCGCTGGATACCCGGACACACGGAGATTCCAGGAAACGCGCGGTCTGCTTTTGGCAGAATAATGTGGCTTTTATCGATGCTCTTCCATCTCGCCCAGAATTTTGATATCGTGCTCTGCGCCCTCATGGCGCACGGATGGGCGAAGAGAAATATAAACGTCAGTTCAAGAACGATTTCCGCGTTCGTCGAGGCTACGTGGAGAAGGCTTTACATTGGTTAAAGCGCTACCACCCGGACTATCGTGATATCACTATTTCCCAACCAAACCTGTTAGCCCTTCCCGTCGATGGTGACGTGTCTGATCAGGTGCTGAATATCGAGGAATCTGAGGAGATGAAGGACAAGGAACCGGGGAGGCAAGGAGATAGCAGGGCTTGTGGGGAAGGGGACGAACGGGGTATTGATGCGGATTTCCCTGGCCCGTCTCAAGAAACTGTGGTACCTAACCACGACATTCGCCAGACCGAGGCAGAGCTTTTGGAAGAGGCTTTTCATAGGAGGGGCAAACCTACCGCTCAAGCGCCGGAAATTAGGCAAACTCCCATTGATGAGTTGGGCAGAAAACACCGCCTGTTTGCTATGTGTTTCCCTACATTGTTTCCGTATGGCACCGCAGATTGGCATCAAGGCAGGATGCGCAATGTCTCCTTGGCTGACTGGGCAGAGCACTCCTGAAATCTCATGATGGAAGATTCGGTGCTCACCCCCGCTTTCGGTTCTTAGTCTTCAACATGCTCATGAGAAAGAAAGCTCAAGAGGCCTCTGGTTTCTGGGTAAAGAAACGCCCGGATCTCTTGGGCCTGTCACTGGACGAGTTGAAGGAGTTACTAGGCGAGGAGAGTACTCTGCTCAAGAACATCGTTCGTTCAGGGGCCGCTTTGACTGGGACGCGCCCTTATTGGAGGCAGAAAGAAAACGCTCTCAAGGCAACAGCCCGTTATTTCGGAACTACGGGGACTGTTTTCTGCACGTGGAGTTGTGCTGACCACCAATGGGATGACCTCCACAGGCACTTACCCCGCTATGTGCAATGGAGGGATGGCACGGATGAGGATCGCCGGAAGATCGCCTGGGAGAACGTACAACGATTCCCTCACATTATAGCCGCTTGGCTCGATATTCGGTTCAAAGCATTCTTGAAATATGCTATGACAAGCTTTCTGGGGTTAGATGACTATTGGTTTCGATATGAGTGGCAAGCTCGTGGAACAGGACACATCCATTGTATCATCTGGATGAGGGATTCGCCCGCCATGGGTGCCAGGACGCCAGAGCAACGGGAGGCTTTTGCACAGTACTGGAATAAGAAAGTTACGGCCGTCAATCCAAACAGTACGAGGCTGCCGGATGCCAGGAATCCGGCTTCTTTGCCCTTCATTCATATCTGCAATACCGATGAACAGGTGGCAGTCTTCATGAATCGCTTTCAAATGCACGCCAGATGTGCCCCTGGAAGGTGCCTGCGCAAAGACAAGACCACGAATGTCGTGGAATGCCGGTTTTTCTTTCCTCGGGAGCTTCAAGAACGTGCTCTGGTCACAAAGAGTATCAACAAAAAGAGTTGGATGTTCGGTGTGGAACGCAATGTGGAACGCCTTGCCCAGTGCTCGCCGGTGATGGCCCTTGGGTGGCTAGCAAACACGGATCTGCAACCGGCGGTTACATATAAGGGGCTGATCCTCTATGTTGCCAAGTATGTGTCGAAGCCAGAAATCAGATCTGCCTCATATCAAGAGTTGCAGGAGCAGATTCTGCCATATGTCAGTGATCGTCGTCCAATTGCTTCCTTTGCGGCGAGGCTGCTCAATAAGCTTATTGGGGAACGTGATTGGTCTGCCCAAGAGATTTCCCATATCTTACTCAAGATTCCTCAGCAGAAGTCGACAAGGCTATGCATGGTTTTGGATTGTCGTCCTGACCACGCTCAAGATCGCCATATCCAATTTGATGTTGGTGGGGCAGGGGAAGATATGGCGGTGAAAGAAGGGCTTTCGGCATACAAGCGCTATAAAATGCGGGTTGAGCATGCCAGTGGTGGAGAGCACTTGAGAGATGTAAGTCTGATCGATTGGCTGCAGCACTACGATGCAAACAAGTTTCAACGCCTCTCTAAAGGCAAACCGCGGACTGTGACGTTCTTTCCTCGCTACAAGTCAAACCCGACCGATGATGAGTATGAGGACTACTGTCGAGTGAAGATGATGTTGTCTCATCCATTCGAAAAGGTAGAAGATGTTCTGGAAGTGAATGGATTCCAAGCCGAGACCTTTCAAGAAGCATATGAACTCTGCTGCGATAACCACAACCATGGGGATGACCTTTACGATGAGTTGGATGTCGACGATGATGACACAGAGTTCGACGCCGATGAGGAATTCGAAGACGTTAACCCATCCCAGCCCACGCCTCCTGCGTCGCTTGCAGACTTCGAAACCTACGGGCTTGCGCACCCGGGAAACGACCTGACGCGAGTTGAAGATGGTGATAACTTGGGAGAACGCGACTCTGATCGGCAATACGACTGGAGCCGTCACGTAGGCAAGTATAACATTAACCCGTTGTTTTGGGATGTTACGAAGCGTGCATTTCCTGCGGAGCAAATTCTCCCCTCTTTGAATTGTGTAGACAACCGCGAGCAACGCACGGTTTACAGCCTGATCGTCGATCATTACACCGATTTTCTTGCTGGGAGGAACCCTCCCCAGTTGAGGGTCAACCTTGATGGTGTCGCAGGAACAGGCAAGACATACATGCTTTTACAGGCAAGTAAGAAACTGGAAGATATGGCGACTATTGCAGGAGTGAGAGACCCTGTTTTGCGGGCTGCTCCGACGGGGATCGCTGCCCACAATTTCCACGGCCGCACGCTGCATAGCCTATTTAAGGTTCCTGTCAAAATCCCCGCACAGGGGCTTTCTCAGAAACTCTCGAGATCGAACCTGTGTTCTTTGCAGGCTGTCTTCAAACATTGCAAATACCTTATTATTGATGAGAAGTCTATGATTGGCATTAAATTCCTAGGCCTTCTGGATCGCCGTCTCAGAGAAATCTTCCCAGCCCGTCAGGATGAGATGTATGCCGGCATCAACATTTTTGTCTGTGGCGATTTCCACCAACTCCCTCCTATTGGAGCTACTGTGATGTATTCAAATCTTCCCAACGCGCGAAACGCTGACTTTTTGGCCGGCTAGCAAGCATATCGAGCACCGGATACAACAGTCCGGTTAACACAGTTGATGCGGCAAGATGGCGATGACAACGAGACGCTTCAGTTCCGCCGCGCGCTCGAAGAGTTGCGGGTTCACCAAGTATCCCAGCAAAGTTGGCAGCTTTTGAGTACCCGAGTACAGAATGAACTAACCTCTAATGAGGTAGAATCCTTTAAGGATGCACTGCGTCTTTACTTCCGCCGAGAGGAGGTTCGTGTGCACAACCACCAGCGCCTCCGCGACTGCAAACAGCCTATCCTTAAAATCAAGTCTACGCATACGGGCCAAGGCGCGGAGAGCGCAAACGATGACGAGGCAGATGGGTTGGATCCTCATCTTTGCATCTGTCTAGGGGCAAGGGTTATGTTAACAGAAAATATCTGGGTTGAGAATGGCTTGGTGAACGGGTCTATGGGGACGGTGAGGGATATCGTCTGGAGAGAGGGTCAAGATCCTACCAAGGATATGCCAACTGCAATTATGGTAAAGGTCGATGATTACGCCGGGCCTAAGTTCCCGGGCACCGACTGCATTCCCATCTTCCCTGTCACCAGGCGATTCGAATACAAAAAACGTGACTGTTCGCGCACTAACTTCCCCCTTCGCCCTGCGTACGCTATCACGGTGCACAAAGCACAAGGATTGACGCTGAAACAAGTGGTCTTGAACCTGGAGCGGAAGGACCATGCGCCAGGATTGTCATACGTTGCCATATCTCGAGTTAAGAAACTTTCTTCCATCATGTTTGAGACGCCGTTCGATCTAAGTCGATTCACAACCAAAGTGAGCTCGAACATGGAGGATAGGGAAAGGGATTGGCACCTGCGCACACTCTAGTCCTTGTAAGTTAATAGATTTGTGTATCACGCCAAAGATAGTAAGATATGAAGATGAAGATGCAAAGA